GAGAGAGAGAGAGAGAGAGAGAGAGAGAGAGAGAGAGAGAGAGAGAGAGAGAGAGAGGGGTGAGGCATGAGGGTGAGCCTGTGTTAGCTCGGAAGCCAGAGGAGGATGTCAGGTGTCCTGCTCTGTCACTCTCCACCTTATTCCCTTTAGGCAGGGTCTCTCCCTGCACCTGGAGCTAGGCTGGAGGCCAGTAAGCCCCAGTGATCCCCAGTCCCTGCCTGCCACAGCACTAGGGTTTTAACTGGACTTTTTACAGGAGTGCTGGGGTTCTGAACTCAGGTCCTCAGGCTTGCACAGCAAGTGTTCTTACTAACAGAGCCACCCCACCCCCACCCCAGACCCAGACATCAGATTTCTTCATGCTTTCGCAATGACATGTCCTTGCCATTGACCCATGGCAAACAGAGACAGGTGATCCTGCTTCACAGATAGCAGAGCAAAAGCAAGCTGGAATGTAAAGAATAGGGAAGGGCAATAGAGCTGGGAGGAGGAGGCATCCTTAATGGGCTCTTAGAGGGCCTGGGCTTGAGACCAGTCCCAACAGGATAGGAGTCCATGAGACTGCCCCAGAGGTCCTAGGGGACAGTGTGATCCCTGAGACACATTGGAAAAGGGGTAACAGTGTCTTCTGGAGCTGACTTCAGAGTGGGCAATTAGCAGCCCTTTGCATCTTAGGAGGTTTTATAACTGGAGTTCGGGACTGCTTGCTACCTGTCACTTGCAGAAGCCCATGCTTGAGTGAGACAGGAACTAAACCTTTGGAACTGAACGTTGTTCAGAGAGCCAGCCATCTGAGAGGACAGTGGTTAGCATCCTACACATCTGTCTACATCTCATCTTGAGTGACGGGGCCTATGGGGGAGGGGGAGGGAAGGGGCAGGCAGTCAATCATCTCAGAAATGTTCATCTCCTCAGGAGGTCAGCAGGTTTCCGAGACTTGCAGTGTCTGTGTGCCTCCTTTCAACCCTGGCCCTCTTCCTTCTCTCTGCATGTCTGGACTCAGGCACTCATGAATCACTGAGTCTAGTTAGAGTCTGCTCTAGGCATCCTTGTATTCCTCCAGGGCACCTGGGCTGGGAGGGGTTAACCCAGGATAAGCCATGGTTACACATGAGTGCTGATTCCTTCCTATGGTGTGGAACAGCGGTGTGTCTTTACAAAGCAGAATATGAAGGTCTCCATCATGTTGTTCTCAGATGTAGAGGTGATGCTGAGGGATGTAGGGAGTAGCCCTGTGGCTTCCTTCCTGCCTCCAAGCCACTTCCTTAAGCAACCCTGGCTTCCTCCAGCCTGGCTCTCTCCATGCCTTTGCCTGCCTGCTCCTTTCTGAGCCCCTCTAATAGCCAGTGCATCATTTCCTTAATGACACACACCAGTGATGGAGGGATGCGGGAGGGGGGCAGCCAGCTGTGACAAGGACGGAGGTACAGCCACACACTGTGGTCCTCGACAATCTGAGGAGTGTTCCCTTTCATCTTTTAGGGACCTCAACTTAAATAAAGTGGGATTCCTGCTTCACCACAGAAAAGAGTTTCAGGGTGAGTCAGTGAGGAACCGAGTCTGAGTGTATTCAAAGACTTTTTCAATACAGATTTCAGGCAGGAGGATTAGGAGAACGTGAGGTGCTTGGGAAGAAGGATGGGTGTGAACTTCTCAAAGAAGAGTTGCCCCTCCTAACCTTTATAATACTCATGAAACACTATTTTGGTGGGGTTGATGCTGTCACCCTCCAAGGGTCACTGAGGACTCTAAATAAGGTCACGGGGGTGTCCTATGGGGCACTTGACAGGACTGCCATTGTTAAAATGAAACTCTAGCTGGAAGGGATGCAGGACAGGGCAGTCAGTATCTTCACTGTAAAAGTTAACAGTCTTAAGAGTCCCCGAGAGGAATGAGCCCCACCCAGGGTCACATACATTCAGACCCCAAGCCTGCTTCCTGGCTCTATTACCATTCTTCTTTGAGATGCCTCTATAGAAAAGAGCATCATCTCTGTGTTGGCCATGTTCACAGCAGACACTGCTGCCTGAGGTGGTTTTTTTTTTTTTTTTTTTTTTTTTTTTTTTGGCTTTATGAGACAGGGTTTCTCTGTGTAGGCCTGAATGTCCTGAAACTCACTCTGTAGACCAGGCTGGCCTCGAACTCACAGAGATCCACCTCAGCCACAACAGCAGGCTTGGACATAACTCAAAGGGAGGTACTGTAGTCAGGCGTTTTTCTCTCCTTGACCTCTGACCTAGCTTCCTTCCATAGAGAGAGCAATACCTGGACCAGGCTGCATGACAATAGTGTCTCCGTTTAATCCCCAGCCAGAGAGGGACATGCCAGCATTATTTATTAAAATAACCTTTCACGGGACAAGGTTTTCCTGAGGATGTCATTGCTGCATGGCCTTTGACAAGAATATGTGTGGAGAGAATGTGACAGGAACAGAGCTCTTGTCATCAGAAGTTGACAGATATCCACCATAACGACAGTTCCTGGCGGGCATCCGTCTCCTGGAGACAAAGAGCCGTGTTCTCTCTCCTTTGTGTTCCTGTCCCTAGAGTTTAGTAGCTACTCAGCAGATGAGGTAACATGAATCTGTGGCAGAGCCACCAGGATGGACTGCTTAATGACACTATCCCTGGGGAATGTGAGCAGACACCCACTCACCAAATAGAAAACCAGCAACAGATCACAGTAACAATACCACCAAGACCAGTGAGTGTTTGGGGGTCACCCACAGGAATATGGGGTTACTTACAGGAGCAGGGACCACTCAAGTGTAGCCACGTCATCAAAACCCATTCCATTGTAGGTGATGACTCATAAAAGCTGGAGCCCTGGAGCTCTCTGCACGACTTCCAGGAAGCTCCATAAGTCAGAGTCTCCTCCCCTAAGCCATTTTCAGTGCTTCTATGACTTTGGGGAAGTAGGAGACCTGTGCATCTGCTAAGTTTCAGGAACTTCCTGAGACCTTCCACTTCTTTGTTTCCTCAGTCCTAAGGAGCCTCCCTCCAGCATGGGATGTCTCAGTTGAGAGGAAAGTGCAACACAACATGACATTCTGGGCAGCCTTCCATCAGGGAAGTGTTCTGCCTTCCCTAATCAACACCAAAAGGGGCACTGATTCAAAATACCACACAAACCATTTCCCAACTGACAGCAAGATTTATTTTTCCAGTCAAGCATACCGTCTCAATCTGAAGCAAGCTTTTTTATGCAAGTATCCGTCCATCCATGTTGATCGACATCTGTTCTTCACTGGGCAGTCTGTTGTGTGCTGGAACACCAGCCTCAACTCCAGACACCAAGGAAGTGGTCAGATACATCAGTGCTCAAGGCTTGGTTGGCAAAGAACCTGATTCACAAACCTGAAGGCCTGTGACCCTCCGGGATATACAATGGCAATCTGAGAGCAGTGCAGCCTTATAATCCTGGTGCTGGAGAAGTGGAGACAGCTGGTTCCCTTGTGTTCACTGGTCAGCTAGTGGAGACAAGCCAGGTCCCCGTGAGAAATCTTGTCTAGAAAAATAAATGTGGGCAACTGGGAAATGATGCTTGGTATTGACCTCTGTCTCCACATATACATGTACATATGTGCATCTACACACATAACATACAATATATATGTATGTGTTAGGGTCTATATGGCACTATTTTTTTTTGTTTCTTGTGTGTTGAGATTCTTCAGTCAAACCCAGTATCTATTGCATGCTAGATAAGCCCCCCATCACCCAGTCACCTTGCCAGTCCCTATCTGTCACTACCCTTGACCAATGGTCACCAAGAGCACACACTAAACAAGTTTGCAGGTATTTTTCAAGTACTTCCATATGTTAAGAAAGTGCCAAAGAATGGCGCTGGCTGGTCCCTCATTACTCTGTTGACTCTCTCAACTGGACCCAGCTTCGGTCAGCCCTACAGCCTGCCAAGTGTTGAGAGGGTAGACAGTTGCTGCATGCCTTCAACCATGCAAGATAAGTCTATGGTCTCAATGGAAGCAGCATGTGTTGCTACCAGTTGGTTGGTCGTGTGCCTTCCTATCACAGCAAATCAGAGGATTGCCTCTGTCATCTGGATCCGTGATGAGCTTTTTATTTTTATTAGGAATGAGTGCCGTTAAGAAGCAGCTGAACATGCAGCTAATTACAGCCAGAGAGAACCGCTTAGCAGCGGGCATACTAAAATGGAGATTGTATTTGGCCCACACTCAGCACTAAGAAGTGGACAGTGCTAAATAACCCCAGCCACCCAACATGCCAGCTACTTGGGGGAGCAGCTGCTGCCAGCTCCTCCTAGCAGGGTGACAGGGCTGCTGTTCTCATGAAAGCCCTGGATCCAGTAGGAACCAGGCAGATGCAGCTCATTGGCTGAGGCAGGCCTTCCTAATGCTTGCCTTCAGCACACTCCTGCCATCACAGAAGGGCTTTCTCAGAGATATATAGACCACCTTGGCAGAGTGTGGAGAATGCCTGGCCCCTGTAGGCATTCTAGGTTTCCCTTGCTGTGAAGTTTGATGGTTCTCTTGTCACAGGTGCCTCCCAGTGAGCTGGGGCCATAGACAGGATTGGCAGTGCCATCACGCTGGTTCAGGGTGCCCACCTAGTGAGCTGAGGTAGGCGGGGCACTGGTTCCAGTAGCAGGCTTGGAAATCCAACCAGGGAGGGTCTCTCTATAGAGCTGGTGCAGGGCCTCCGGGTAGCTGAATATCCCGGACCTTTAGATAGCATTCGAATTTGGTTGCAAAATGAAAAGCATTTTTCTCACTCTCTAAATTCTGTACTGACTGTAGCCAAGAACAATGTGTCTGTGGGGTCATGGTTAAAGGGAGCTGTCAGAAAAAGAACTTGAAAAGCTCTGAAGTGGACCAAAGATGCAAATAAATGCAGCTCTCCGCAGGCACCTCT